CCACCCGACCATGCCCCCTTCCACCCGACCGTACCCCCTTCCACCCGACCATGCCCCCTTCCACCCGACCGTGCCTCTTCCCCCCGGACCGTGCCCCATCCAAAGCAGCAAGATTATTTTGCGGCGGCACTAAACCCAACTTTAAATGGACATTTCACCGACTTTCACAAGTTTCGGGGCACTGCGCTGTGGTTTTTAGGGAAACCGAGCAGCAAGCCAGGGCTTTGCCAACTGTACGGCCAGTTTTTGGCAAATTAATTTAGGCTTGATTAAAAACCCTGCAAAGAAATGTATGGCCAGGGGTGGTGTTTTGAATGCCGCGACACGAAGGACAGGGTTTTGCTGATGCCTACAAAATAATTACAAAAGAAGCCACTTTCTGATGCGGCTCAGAGAGGGGTTAATGCCGTAACCCCCATGAAACCCAGCGCTGCCGTGTTTTACCAGGCAACGCCCGCGCCTCCGCCGGCAGGAGCCGTTCGTAGGTGTTGAAGATCCCGGCGTCCGAAATGATAACGGGAGCGAAGATGTTCACCAAACCTTGGCCTTTCTTGACGCTCACACCTGGAAGGTTGAAAGGCGAGGCGGGGAGGAACGGGTCCGGTTAAAAGCAACGCCGCGGCGGGGAGAAGCCACGTGTGCCCCAGCCCGTGCCGGCGCTCACCGCAGGCTTTGCCCTGGGAGTCCAGCAGGATCCTCTGCACCGGCGCGTTTCCCAACACGTTGCCTCCGGCTTTCCGGATAACGGGAATGGTGTGGAAAGCGATTTCCCCGGCCCCCCCTTTGGGGTACCACGCGCCGCGGAGGAAGTGGTTCACCAGGATGCTGTGCATGGAGAAGCTGGCCTTGGAGGGGACCACGCCTGAAAAAAGGGGCAGCGTAAGGTGAGTTTGTGCCGAATCGTGGTTTTGTGGCTTATCCTGAAGTTTTTAGGATGAGGAGTGCCCTGTCCTTGGCTGGACGCGATGCTGCAAGGAAGGACGGATGCGGGCGAGAAACGATGGGTCGTCGGTACCTGGAGGAGCAGGGAGGGCGTCGGACGTGGGTGGCCCCGTGGCAAAGCCCGTGGCTCGTTCGCAACTCGGGCTGCGCCCGCTGAACCAGCCGAGTGACGGGGGTCCACGAGCAAACCCCCGGGGCGGACGGGAGGAAGGGAAGGGGAAGGCTCAGGGCGAAAGGGTTACGGCGAGGCCGGAGCGGTGGGTGCCAGCGCGAGGTTAAGGGCGGGTAGATGTTCCCTTGCGTAAGAGGAGCGATGCTTCCACGCCGTGAAGCTGAAGGATGCGGAGGAAAAGAGATGAAGGCGAGCAACGGGGACGTGGGGACAACCGGCCGCTGGCTTGGGGACAAGGATGCTGGCAGAGCACCCATGCACGCAGCATCCCTCGCCCGC